CAGTAATTGGAGCATCTCTGCAAATAAAAAACATATATTCATCTACAAATATTATTTTGTTATTATGATACTTACTCTCCTTCACTTTTTTTATATTGTTCAATGCCAGTTTTAATTGAACGTAAATCAGCTAAATCAATTGGATAACCACTTACAAGTTTAGCATCTCGTGCTACTTTTTTTACATCACTGATCGTTTGTTGCAAGTTGCTAGGTCGTGCGAACAGTACTACTTTAGCACCAAGCTTTGACAATTCAAGAGCTGTTTGTTTTCCAATTCCACCAGCTGATCCAGTGACTAAATAAGTCTTTCCACTAAGATCCTTTGTCTTAAGAGCATCATATTGACCACCACGAGCAATCCATCGTACTAGGCAGCAAACACCAACAAAATAAATTCCAAGAAAAAGATATGATGAACGAAGAAACACCCAAATAAAATGAGGAACTAAAGGTGCAGAAAATGCTGATAAAGGAAGAATAATAATTGAAACAAAAAGAGTGAGTAAAGCTTTTGTTTCTGGTTGACCAAGAAAATATAATACTAAATTAACCATATCTTTGATTTTATTTCACAAATGTAGTCTTGCTCAAGGAATATTCGTTTAAATATAAAATAATATTTTTTGCATCATCATCATCACGTATACGTTCTTTGCGTTACAAAAGTGCACAAGATACATGTTATTTTGTATAATGTAAAATTACCAACATTGGTAAACACAGGAAAGACAAAAATATACATGATCCAATAAATCATTAGAAAAAAGCGACATCTTTACATGTTTAAGCAAGTAAATGGAGTGGTTCTACAATTAGAATTATAGTCTCACACATATATATAGATAGCTCTCTGTTGAAATTAAATCTAACTCTAAAATGAGTGCATATTTATTGGTCGCGATAACTTACATTCAGACGCTACATACATTTTTATATGTAACTTACCCTTGTTGTTCTGAGTCAATCAAATTTTATTCCACATTTTACCTTATAGTATTTTGTCGTGTAATAAAGAGCAAAACATGTGTTTGGCATGCATACATTAGAAATGTATATTCATCTTTATATTTCTATATTCAATCTAATAAATTACAATAAATATTGAAAAAAATGCTAAAATAAGGTGTTAAAATTCGGTTCTCAGATGCGAAGATTTAGTATATTAGTTGAGATCAAAAGTTCTATATACTACAGAATTCAATAGATTTCAGTTACACTTTATTTTTATAACTTTGTAAATTTAATAAAAAATCGTGTATCAGAAATTGAAATATTTAAAGAGCGTAATTACGTGAAATTATTTACAAAAAATCGTAGTTCAAGTCAACGATTAATCTTATGAAATGTCTTTACACATTAACATTAACAATAATCTATAGTACTTCACAGCAGTTAATTTTTCCACTGAATTTTTATGCAATTATCTTTATCGTCTTTTACGAACAGGTGAAGTAAAACGAAACATTGACATAGCACAGCCAAAGTCATCATTGTTCAAAAGATATAATACGTTTTCTTTCCCATAAGTTTGACATAAATACAAGTCAAAGGAGAAGGTATTTACTTATTTTACAACATCAAAACATCAAATCAAACGCAACGATACTCTGCACATCATTGTGAGAATATTATTAATTGTCATCAATCGATATTTAAATGTGTCAAATATATCCCTTTATATATATTGAAAACTCATAAGGCTCATCACAAATAACAAAATATTTCATTTAATCAAAGAGTGATTTTAAGAAACTTTCCTTAACATTTGATTTTATTGGATGTGAGTATCTATCTTCTCATACCCACATGATTGGGAGTCGATGATGACTAATGAAAATCATTCTAATGTGGTTTATGAAAAAGTAAAACCACCATATTATGTTTAATCAAGCTTATCGAAAGAAGAACGCAAACATAAACATAATCATTCACGTACCGTCAAACAAAGATCACGATATTATCGAACTGAAATAGTTTGTCGAAATGTCGACAGAAGATTCGTCATAGAACGAATCAAAACAATATCACGACAATATGATATCTCATTCTCAGCAGTCAATACATTCAAATCTAGGTCAAACAAGGTATCTCTTTACATTGGTGTTAAACAACCAGACAGACAACATCATATCATCGAACATAACAATATCGATGCATATCGTTGTACTAACTGCTCAGCTCTTTCTGAAGCTAGTAAACGTCTAACAATTAATTATTTACCACCAATGCTGATTATTAATTTGAAAAGAAGTACTGTACTCGGTTCTTCAATAAGATAGCATACACAAAAAGTGAATTATAATGATTTACTGAATACGTATCCATATATAACTTATAAAGTACTCGACTGTAACAAAGAGAACGAAAATAATATGGAATCAGATGATTATACTTATCAATTATACGCAATTATTAACCACATTAGTGATAACAATGAAAATGGACATTACGATGCTTATATTTGAACATCAAAATATAATTGGTCTCTTAGTAATGATACACACTATCAATAAATATCAGTACAAGAAGTATTTAATAACTAAGTTGCTTCTATTATTTTTATGGCAAAGCATCTCATGGACTCATAAATATTAAGCGCAAATTTTAACGAAAATCATTACAATGGTCTCCAATAGATAACTATGCCGTGTCTACTTCTACTATTTCAATTTCATCGGTATGTACAACATTGTTGTAACATAATGTATGTAACCTGTATTTTATTCTAAATAGATTACAATGAATGTACCATCTATCACCGGTAATCCGATCAATTATATTGTTAAACAAGTTTTAATTAGTAAGTACAACGACAGATACAGAAAAAGACATCATCAAAAAAGAATAATCCGATGATACCTTATTTATTAGATATACGTATGTGTAAAAGTATTCTCTTTTAGATAAATGTCAATTAAATAGCAACTCAACATCAAAAACCATCGACACAAATATTAATGATCAATTAAGTGTTGGGGCTGATATCGAAATACTATCAGGATTTATTGAAAGTAGTATTACGATTGATAATAAATCCTTTACTGATATATCTGATTCGCTCTATTCACAAAAAGGTAAGCAAAATCAGCTAAATTAAGTGAATTATATTTACATACAGTATGCAGTTCGAAGAATTGATTGAAAAATCTGATTTAAATTAAACAATCACTTATTAATCTTATAAACTTGATCACGAACTGATTTTAATGCTTGATAATTCATAATTTGATTCAGTATTGTTGGTTATATTTTCTTTTTATACGTATAGATATTAACCATACTGTAGCTTCAGTGGCAACCGGTGCACCATTAGAAGAAGTCTTTAAATGCAGATTACCTGAACAATATCATTTTAAGTTAGCATCAACACAACTTATTAGTATGTTTAATTGTCGAAAAAAATTGAAAAGAAACAATATTATAATAAAATTGAACAGTCAAGATTAGTATGAGAACCATTAATTACATCATTACAACATAAATATTCGAACAACTGATTAAAATCCATTTCGATTGCTAAAAACAGTGGTATATACTGTATAGAGTGAATGTGGGTGTGATGGTGTTTCTAATCTCCTATACCTATCACCCACGCCCACACCCTCAAGATGATTACTATGTTCACACATATCTTGTGGCAACAATCCTTCAATTGTTCGTCTATGGTTTTTCTTTGTTTTTTCCGTGAACACATGGCTTGATGTTTGTAATGGTATCGACTCCAGCACTATTTCGATGAATTTGAAGAACTATTCCAAAGCAGTTTCTTCGGGATACGTTGACATCTTTTTTTCGATGCCTAAGTGTTCTCCTGAGATTCAACCCATTGTATTACATAAATGCGAACCTACAATAATCGAAATAATTTGTTTTTTAATTTCGTTTCAAATAAAACAAACCTTGATGTGCGCTTTCATATGCGGAGAGCAATGGAAGAGTTTCTCCTTTTTCTTGGTCTCTACCCAAAACTTGACATAGTGTGCTGATATAGATGATTACTATGATCGTTGTGGTCTAACTTGTATTTTCAGATATATTTTTTGGAGGCTTATTAATATATTCTTAGTTAATTTTACATCGCAACCATCTTATAAAAAAATTCCCTATAATAAAAGAAATAAACAAGATTACATAAAAGCGTAAGAAATTTTCTCACCATCGTGATGTGTAATACTTTTTAACGATTTTAATTGATCTATAGTAAGTTCTGATGGGTAAATGATGATGATTAATTAAGCGACGAAATTGGGATCTCTCAATTGTTTCATCTGCCCGAACTCTTGCTTTATGTGACAATAAATAATTAAGAAAAGCTTGAGTACGAGGTAAATCTTGTTCTTTTTGTGACGACAATAATCTTTTAAGTGATATTGGTGGCATGATAAATAGATTGTAATGAATGATGTGTTCCAGTGAGAAAGCTCGCTGATTTATAGAACGGATAAGCGCGATAAGAACTACGGTTGAATTGGTCGTTCTTTCAATTAGGGGAACATAATGATATTAATTATGGAAAGAAAAACAATACCTGACGTCATTTTTGAAAAAGACATTGATTAACAGCCATTTCAAAGTAGCGGTCAGCCGTCGATGAAGAACATCTTATACTTTGAAAAGAGACGAATAAACAACGCTTGCGAAATTGAATTCTGTTTGAAGTGCAGCAAACAATTACTCTCACCCTATTCCGTCAAACGTCCATCCCCACTCATACCGTGAACAAGCTCCGGTTACATCGAGTCAACCGCGAGAAAATCTCGTTCGATAGTACGTATTTGATAGGAATAACTTTTTTTTCATATTAAATATGTATTTCTATTTTTTAGCAATTACCATGAAGATAATGAAGGTTTGATCAATCGACAAATCAATACGAAATTATATGCTAGTTATGTTTGCACGACTATGGTGTATCATTTCGATCGTTGTGTTGGTGCTTTAGAGGGTGAAAAGAAATAAATAACTCTGTTTTTCTTCTTCTTTTCTAATCGTGTTGGTTCTGATCTTGGTGAATATATATCCGATAAAGAAGAACTACACGATTCATTATTTAACAAATGCAAAAGTATGAGAACCCTTTTTTCTGCATGTTTACGTAATTTTTAAATTAAGAATAACCTTTTATCAGGTCACATTTGTAACAGTCAGTTTGATTAATTTTATCCATTCATTCTTCTTCATATGATTTTTTTAAATGCTATGTTCACATAAAAGTAAATCGATACTTTGACACAAAAATAAATACATTCTTATCCTTACCTACACCTGCACACTGTAGCACAATCGTATTTTATAAAGCGATATGCGGAGAAAAGAAAAAAAAAGATTAAGAATGACGTATGTTCTCAAACTTAAAGTGCTCTATCGATATGATTAACGTTTATTATTATACTTAACAATCTTAATCAAATATAACTAAAAAACAGTTTTTGATTTCAAGAAAAATGACGTCTGAATAATGAGACTAGGAAAAGAAATTTTGTATTTTTTATCAATCAGTTTGATCGATATCGTTTAGAAAATTTCGATTACATAATTTACTCAATAATTGCCAGGCATCTTCAAAATTATCAGGCTTCAATATGGATGGAACAAAGTTAAAATCAGCATACATATTGATTGCTCTCCAACTTGTTGTTTGTGAATCAAGATAACATACGTTTGAATATTCAGCAATCTTATGTAAAACATACGATACTAATGGTTTTGCCAATTTTTTTCCTTGATATTCTGGAATAATAGATACCCACCAAAGACTACCTTCTTCTTTCCCATTAATTTGATCTATACCAGCTGTAGCTGTACCAATATATTTTCCATCAGGATTAACAAGAAAATACAGACGTTTCGAAATTAAATCATTCTTCTTATATTCTCCAAAATATTTCTCAAACATCTCCATACCTTGTTCTTTTGTTTTGAATTCTCCTGCCGCTTTGCATATGTCGATCCACTTTTCATCATCATTTGAATCTTTTTTATATAGTTGAAATGAATATCCAGGTGGTAAAGGATAAGATGGTATCGAATCCATATTCGGTCGAAACATTTTCATGCTAAAATATTTGATTTCATCAGTTGATTTATGTAGATAGTTGTCCGCCATGATTTTGATGATAAAGACTCGTTAAAGAACCGTAAATGAAATTATTATATATGCTGACGTGTAGTATGAGTACTGAATCGTATGTGTCACATGGAAGAAAAGAAAAAAACAAAATATATTTACTTGCATAAGATTGAGGTATCTTTATTTTGCTGCATATGAGTCATCGGAGGAAAGTTATGATGAAAGGCTTAAAACTGATTACATTTTTGCAGCTGTGAGTTGGGTGAGAACAGAGTAACTCACATCCGCAACGTTGGTTATTATATTTTAAAAATCTTGATCAAAAATAACAAAAAACAAGTTATGATTTCAAAAAAAAGTGAATAATGATAGTAGGAAAAGAAATTTTGTGTTCATTATTAATTAGTTTCAGTGGTAGCGGCTAGAAAACTTTGATTACAAAATATACTGAATAATTGCCAGGCATTTTCAAAATCAGTTCTGTATCAGCAAATGACATGTTGGTGTAAACTAAGAATAGTACTATAAAGAAAACGATTGTTGCTATTTCTATGAAATGTCTATTAGAATTCAATGGTTTTTATTTATGAACAAGGATATTTTATGTGCTTCGTTCATTTCTATATTTAATTAATGAAACTTCTGAACAGTGTCGACTGTCACGTGTACTATATGCGCTGTTTATTGTTAAGAAGAAAGAGATAAAATATAATAAGCCAGTTTCCATAGTATTCTTTTATCGTCGGAGCATCAACTCATTTTTTCCTTCTTTAAGTCTGTTCTTTGAAAAGAATTATTTTTTTATGAGCTGTCAACCAATCCTATATTACTTTGACGTATAAAGGTTACATAAAAGAAAAAAGAAAAGTAAGTTCTATCGTCTTATTCATATAGTTAGATAAGACGAGAAAGGAAATGTTTCAAATGACGTCTATATCCTATATAATATCTATATATAGCTAATTAATAGATTAGTGAGTATTACTGTAGTCATTCTTCAAATACATGTGTAAGTAAACACTAATTGACTTTTTTTCGCTTTGTAATTAAGTATTTACATCGATTATAGATATTAATTTGAGACGATTCATACTTCGAAACATCTTTAACACATATCGTCAGAGAAAGTTTTGATGAGCTCACAAGAAAGAATAAGACGTGTGATGATCGTGAATTGTAAGTTAAATTTTTCTTAGTTCATGTTTCAAAAAAATATTTAATTTGTATGCATCAGCATCTAATATGTTCTATTCAAACATGATTTACAGTTTCATATATATCTATATTTTATCTGATTCAATCTTTTAGATTTGGTTAACGCGTTGAATATCGTTAGAATGACGATTAATCTTCGAATAAAATCATTGATTTGTTTAAGACATCGAATAATACGTATTTGTATTTTGATAATAATTATTATTTTATTAATATATCATATGTTACAACGTTATTCAATTAAAAAAGTTTTAATTGAAAAAGATTTATTAAAATATGCAAATGTTAGTTGGCCTCAACATCGTATACCTCGTATAATTCATCAAACATATAAAACATATAATATTCCTGAAATTTGGAATAGTTCTATTCAATCAATAATTGAAACAAATTACAAAGATTTTCAATATCATCGATGGTCTCATGAAGATATGCGTTTATTTGTTCAAAAACATCAACCAGAATTTTATCGGAAAACTTATATTAATTATAAATATGATATGCAAAGAATTGATTCATTTCGATATGTATTAATGTATCATGTAGGTGGAATTTATATTGATATGGATAATGGTTGTAATTATCCATTGAAACATATTGTTACAACAATGGAAGCATTAGATCCATATTCTCCTTATCTTGCTCTTTTTCCTGCTGAAGATACATTTGGTCTTCAAACTGATTTTATAATTAGTACATCTAATCATCCAATATTTAAACAATTTATTTCAAATTTACATTTATTTAATCATAATTATCTTCTTCATCATCTAACTATTTTACTTAGTGCCGGTCCACTTTACGCAACTTTTCAAGAAAGATTTTTTAATCAAACTGAAAAACAAATTGTAAGAATATTAGATAACCAAATTTATAACACAATTTTTTGGAAAACTAATGGAGGAACTTGGTTTGAAAGAGATACTCTTATTATCCTCTATATTTATTACAATAGAAATACAATTTTAAAATATTGTATTATCATTCTTATTTTTATTATTATAATTATTATCTTATTTAAACGACGTAGAATAGATTTTCTAGTTAAATTAACTATTAGACAATCAAATCATATTTTTTATCCAAAAAATTTTCGACGAAAACTTTTTAAATTATTTAAGAACAAAATTCCATCTAAATAAATAATATAACATTTACTTAAATCAATCTCTATGGTAATTATCTTCATCATTGCCATATAGATCAAAGGGTGGGTGTGGGTTAAAGTAACAGACGCGCACCCATCCACCCACATATTCTTTTTCGGTCTGTAGAGGGTGTATATATTGAATCCATTAGTATGAATTCAAATAGATAACGCTATTTAAATAAATTTTGATTGGTTCAAAAGTTTAATTCAATCAAAACGAAGACGGGGAAGAAGAAAGAATAAGCAATAAATTTAATCCAAGACAAACGTCCTGATATGAATTCATAAAATTTTTTTTTTAAGATAAATCTATGGATAGCGTTAAACGAAAATCACCTATTGATTATCTATCAAAAAAATTTCGAAGTAAGTTCTATTTGTAAAATAATTATTTTTCTATTTTAAAAAAAAATTAGATGAAAGTCATCGATCGATAAATTACATTGAACATATGTCAAACGAATGTTTTTTTGAAATATTCGATTATCTTGATGGTTATGTAATCTATGAAGCATTTTCAAATTTAAATTCTCGTTTTCAACAACTACTTCATAGTTCAACACTTTTATATAAAATCAAACTCGATATTTCAACACCAGAAGGAATATTTGAGAAGAATTACAGTCAAATTATAGGTCGTCATCAGCCTCAAATACTTTCAATTCATTTATTAATGAAGAACGCTATGTTTCCTGCAACATCGTTATTTATTGTTATTTCACAATGTATGCATCTTGAATCACTCGTTCTTTATAATATCAGAGCACATTTACTTCATTCACTTCTTAAAAATTTAACTAAATTACCTTGCTTATTCTTATTAAAAGTTAATACACACAATAGTTTCACCTTACAAGAAATAAGTGATACCTATCAATTCACATTCGCCTTACCAAAATTAAAATATTTCGAATTTGATACAGATACATATGACACTACTAACTTAATACTTCCATTATCAATTGCTACTCATCAACAATTCAGTCATATCACATGTTTTTGTATTGGCCAATCTTGTAGTTATAAAGAATTATTTCCTATTATATCTTATACACCAGAACTTTATCGTTTGAAATTATCATATGCAGTTTATGATGATGAACCAGACATCGAAAATGTTTTAAAAATTTCATTAAAAAATTTAAAGTATCTTTCATTCGAACGGTTTGAAATGGAATTTAATGAATTAAAATTATTTATGAAAAAAATTCTTATACCCAAATTAGAATTTTTACGTGTCAATGTTGAATATAATGATATAGTCTGTTTTAATGCTAATCATTGGGAAGAATTAATTTGTAAAAATTTTCCTCATTTGAAAAAGTTTTATTTAAAATATCCAGAAGACTATCATCGTGAATGTGTAATTTTGAAAAATTCTACTCAACTGAAGCAATTCTTCTCCTCGTTTTGGATTGAACGACAATGGTTATTGAATATCGAAATCAATGATAGTAGTATTATCTATGCAATTCATTCATCTACACAAAATGATGTTATAAATTCTTCTATTCAATTTATCCTTATAAGTGATAATTATTCTGATGAATTTTGTATCTTCTTAAAATCAGCTATTGATTATTTATCACCAACAATTGGACAAATTTATGATTTAGAAATTTCAGATATTTCTCTCAATAGATTTATTCAAATTCTAAATTTCTTACCGAAACTTAATTCATTAAAAATTTCTTCTTTATCATTAAAACAATTCAAATGTTTATCTAATGATGAAAAAGAACGTCTCAATTTTATAACAAATCAAAATCAAATCAGAAAAATTATTTTAGAACAAATGAATGATATTGAAGAAATTATTTTTCTTCTTGAACATTTTACTCAAATGACTTATCTTAAAATAGATTCAATTAATACTCTTCACATGGAATTATTTCTACGAATTATTTTATTAAAGATCCAAACGAAGCCAAATCATCAACTAAAATTATTGTCATTTTACATATCAGCAGCAGACGATAAAATGATTGAAACATTACAAACAATGATTGATTTTGAAAAACTTCTATTTAATTATACAATTAAACGTTCAATGGAAAATATCATTCTGGAATGGACATAAATCTCATCTTTGTTCTTTCTTTTCTGAAAAGTTGAAATAAATTTATTTACACTCGCTTTTGTTCGAAATTCTCGTTAAGATATTCGATATTTTAAGTATTTACAATGAAACTCAATTGTGTTCATAGTTTAAAACTTTTGAAGTCCTTGTTTTTGCTAATAGTTAGATAAAGGGTGGATGCTAATGATCGAATGTGTCTTTGGATTGTTGTTCTTTTCAATCACACTGGCATGTTCACTGTAATGAACTATGATAAAAGAAGTAACCGTGAGATAGTAACACACACTTTATTTGACTTTTTTATACGACAAACTCTCGTTCATTTATAGAACATACACTCATATGAGAAGGATATGATAATGAATAGCGGTCAAGCATAGCGGTCACGCGAGAAGAGAAGCGTAACAGATCATCTGCAGGTTACAAGATAGATGAATGTGACAATATCTTTTTACACTTACATCAGACTTACAATTCATTCAAATAAATACCACTTGTTTTGTGTCGTTTCCTTTCTGAAAATCATCTAAATTTGAATCATAGATTCTCTATTTTGACTATTTTAAATGACCGATGATTTAAAATAATTTCAAAATACAGCTGCCAATTTAGCTTTGCTCATATTTTGATATCAACTTAAAGTCTACTTTATTTTCGTGTATTCACCACTGCCACATTACAGTAAACTTCGATCTCTACTCTATGAAATAGTTTCAAACCTTCTCTATTCTTGTTATCGACGATGATTTTTGCATTTTCTTTCTTTCTTTCTTGCATTAGTGGTAGTAACATGCTTGCGATGTACAACGATGTATTAATAGCACAAAACTACCTTTCGTTTGTGTGCATACGATGTTTCTTTTCATATTAATGCGTGAAGAAAAAATATTTCTTTACCTACACAAATAACACTATTGTCTTCGTTTGTGCGAGTGTGTATATAAATGTGCGTGCAGGCAGTAGTTTTTTTCTTGAGATGTAAGTAATGTGTCGTTAGATATGAAAACGGTTTTATTCATTGTCATTCATAGATAAGCAAGTTTTTTTCTTTCTCTATCTTTACACTTGTATATAATGAGACCAGCTAAACTTTACTGCCATTCACTGAAACGCTAGAAGTAAATTGGACATAAGCATATTTTTAAAGCATCAAATGTGGTTTTAATTAGAGAAGAATATTCGACCAGGTGAATTAGTTTAATGAACACTTCTGGTAGCAAATAGATAGCTAAGAAAACTAGACCAGCTTTGAAAAGTGACTAGATTTCTTCCCTAGACAACTGCTAAGAGATGTACTTCTGATATTGTCAATATTTTCCCTTTGAGCCAAGGTAGACTTTACTAATAGAGATTCAGTTAATAGAGAAAAAGTGTGCGTGTAATATTAGTACAATTTATCGTATTGTTTTAATCCAATAATAATGTATATTTAATATTTCGTTCAGGAAACATCTTCTTTTTTTAAGTTTGAAACATGTATATCAACAATTATAAAAATTTATAAACGTTGAGCTATGTATCTCTTTTTGTGTACTCAAAAAGTGAGTACACTTCTAGAATCGGTCAGTGTGTCCGGCCGGCCGGCCGTATACACGATAACGTTTGAAAGAATAGTCCGATTGAGCTGAAATTTTGTACACAATTCAGTCTCATGTAGACCTCGGTCGAGTTCGAAGATGAGCTTAATTGGCTGGGCCATTCCTGAGTTATTGAAAAAATACTGATATTTCTCTATGATTTTTCTATATTTTTTTAGAGGGAAAAATAATATAATGCCATTCTCGTAAGCAACTTTTCTACCCGAGTCAGATAAAATTCCACTTATTATAAAGCATTCAATAGAGAATTTTACAAGCTACAAGATGGTACTAAATTATAGAGGTAAACGGGTTTCACACAAGATTGTCCCTGTATAATACAGTGGGTAAACTATAGAAAACTCATATATGCTGATAATGTATCAGTGCGATATTTGTTTGTTTTTCATATTACTAATAACGCTTTTTCTAGAGTAGATAGAACTCATCAAGAGCTTGAAAATGATGTAAAATAATAGGGGGTAGATATGCTGCGTTCGATATGTCTTTAGTATCACACTTGTGAAAAACCATGAAAAAGCCATATACCTTAATAGTGTGTCTGTGTGATATTCGTTTGTTCTCCGTAGAGTCAACGTTATTGTTATGTACTCGAAAAGCGAAGTTCACAATAGATTGATGATGATCAACCTGCCTAAAAGAATTCATCCTTGAGCGCACTAAGGATCTACCCCTTAGTCTCTGCGGGGATGCTCTCTTTGTAGTGTATTCAAAAAGTGAGTATATTACTAGAATTGATCAATGTGTTTGACCAGCCGTTTACACGATACCTTGCGAAAGGAGAGTCAGATATTGATAAAATTTTATACACAATTTAGACTCATAAAGATCTCGGTCGAGTTCGAAGTTGAGCCTAATTGGACGAGCCATTCCTGAGTTATCACAAAAATACTGATATTTTCCTATGGTTTCCATATACACTTTTTGCAGTACACATAACTCTCGGATACAATCCGAAGTTTCCTCATTTATTTCATTAGATGTCTGTTTCAACGTTCGTATTAGTTCCTGGCGCTTGGCATTCATCATCATGCTGGCAACGTGTTGTCCCTTTACTTCAAGCACAGGGCCATCGCGTCGTTACAATGGACCTTCTTGGTACAGGTAGTGATCATACTCCTCTCTCACAAATTGAACTGGTTACTTGGGTGAATCAAGTGGTTGATCTCATCAAAGAGCAAGAGACGCCAGTGATTCTGGTTGGTCATAGCCGTGGTGGTATTATCATCAGCGAAGTTGCACAGAGAGTGCCTGAGAACATCAAGCTTCTCATCTATTTGGCGGCATTTTTGATACCATCTGGCGAAACCGTTTCAAGCACTGTACCCAAAGGGAAAAATGAAGATTTCTTTGTATACCATCCTGATGGTACACTCACTCTCAAGACAGATAAAATGGTACCTGTCTTATACAACACTACATCATCCGAATGGATAGAACGCATACCGAGTATGTTGTCACCAGAGCCATTAAGCGTCTTCTCTAAACCATTACAACTTACTGACGATCGTTTTGGACGTGTGCCGCGTGCCTATATTGAGTGCACTCAAGATAATACTATTCCACTGACAACGCAACGTCTCATGCGCGATAAATTACCCTGCAAGTACGTCGTTTCAATAAGTACAGATCATTCGCCGTTCTTCTCAGCACCATCTGAACTAGCAACCTGTTTGCTCGATCTTGCAGCAAAAGATTAATATCAAATATCTTTCTAATTTTACACAGAACTCTATTACTTATATTCAGTAGATATACTATGTTACTCCTGACATAAGAACTAATACTAACTACTCTTATCACTTCTATATAAACTCTCGTTCATAATATGCTCTAAAATAAGTTGTTTTTTTATTCATTCAATAAAAACATATTATCATATTACAAAAAACTTACACTAATTTCTAGGCTATACTTTGGTGTGAATGTGGGTAAAGACATTGATAAGATTCACGCCCTCAAGTCAAGTATAATCATCGACAGAAATGTAAATTGGGTATAATATGTTAAGAAAGCGATATTTAAACTGGTTTACTATTTTCCCATCTACCTTTTCTCACTATTCGTCCATTTGAATCTATCACAGTTCCTTGTCCATGTAACTGTCCATCTCTAAATTCACCGTCATACTTTTGTCCATTTGAATAATACATCGTGCCATGTCCATTTATATTGTCATTTCGAAAGTCTCCTTCATACCATTGGGTACCATCTTTTCCCCATATAAACTTGCCTCGACCTTCTTTTGCTCCATTTACCCACTCTCCATTATATTTATTTCCATTAGAATAGTTACAAATACCCCGACCATTTGGGAAACATGTACATTCTGATACATCTTTGCCATTTTGACATTCAATAAGAAATAACGTTGAGTTCGGCGAAGTACCAATAAAACCTTTAATTACATCAACTTTCACAGTACAAGAACTCACCGTCCACTATGTAATTACTTGTTTTTCTTTGAAGGACGCACTCAAATCTCGCGAGACTTCACGCCATATGACTGTTCTTATCGATGATAGTTTTGTTGTTGCTGCATCAATCAGTCGTAAATAAGAGAAGAACGGGTTTAATAGTCGTCGACTTTCTTCACGAAGTGGAAAGCATAATCAAATATTGATGAATCAACATTTTTCTGTGCTCTATAATCTCTTTCAGTACGTACAATTGTAATTAATTCAAATTTGTGTTCAAATGAATTTATTGTCGATGATTCTTGAAGAGCAAAGTCAGTAGGACTATTCAATATCGACGAAAAATTACTTGAATCGCATCGATGTGCCATTTGATATTTAATTAATTCCCATTGAGAATTAACTTCAATGTTATCGTGACTTAATTGGCCAATCAATTCTTTCATTTTTGCCATTATTTAGAAAGATTATTTGTAAAATATTCTTGTGTAATTTATGACAAAGAACACAAAAGAATTAATGTGACAGTTGCTTTCTCTTAACATGAGAACATAACATTGTCATACCGATAAATAACAAGCAATGCATGACTCGTAATCTTCGACGTAAAAAGAACGGAAAGCAATAGGCACTTTTATAAACGTTGCCTTCTTTCTTTCCGAAATGCACAAATCTCTTCGAAAGATTTTTTACCTACAAGAAAATAAATGATGCCACAAAACTAACACACAAGGTTCTTTTTCATCAAATGAGAACAACAATTTTTTCGATCATTATATTTAGTTAATTGACTGAATGATGATCTGCATGTAACATGAGTTCTCTTACACATTAAATAACTTCAGAGAAGCATGTCAAACTAAAAAAGATTCTAAAACAAAACTATGATTGTGCAAATGCACATATGACCTTTAGTAAATAATTTTAGAGTTTTTGTAGTTGATGATACAAAATCAAGTAGAAAGAATTCTTTTATTTTATTTATGCTAATAATAGATTTTCACATCTTGTTAAGTCTTGGTTAGCAAATCAAAATCTAGAGAGTGTAGATGTGAATATTATAATCAGTTTATATCTAACTCTATATTCAACGTCAAATACATCAAAAATAGCAATGAACAAAAAATAAACTGAAGTTATTAGTTTTTGAGAACTTTATTTATTAAACCTGTCATTAATAGAGAGAAAGAGTTTAAAGAAAGATATCAACTAGTTTACACTTCTCTTATGAGAAATTTAATATTATTTAGTCGCTACAATTATCTTGTGATTATTCATAATCAGGTTAGAGATTAAACATCTATGTATCAGTAATATAGAGTTTATTTTAAAGTTCTTGTGCACTATCATCGAATCTAATCATTTGAGCTTTTGACGGTTTTCCCATGCAATCCACGTAAAACAGCATATAGTAAGCAGGAGGCAAATTTGCTGTGCGTGCATCGGTCATAAAGAATAAGATTTGTTCTTTAACACCCAATTGAATATATTCTAAATTGAATAAACGTTGTCCACCGTCCCACCCATGAGTAGCCCATGGCATCTTAATCAAAACAAGAGTAGCATTGCGTTTACCAGAACAATGTTGTGGTAAGTTGGATAATTCTACAATATAATATTGATTACTACGAAGTAAATAGAAGACTTGATTTCCAATAATTTTTCGAAATGAATCATTCGGTTTCAATGTAGAAAGTGACAGAATTTCAGCACGACGTTTACCATCAATAAACAAATAAGGTGGACTAAATATTTCAGCTATCCACATTTCTGTCGGCGGAATGGATGATGCTCTTGAAGCTCGTCCTAAAATGAGATCGTCTGTTGTAAAATAGTAATCAAGATCGATGAGACTTAAATCAGGCAATGGTTGTGTTCCACTAGAAGTATTAAATGATGAAAATGGCTTTGTTCGTTTATGTATCGCTGCTCGACCAGTATTTCCACCTGATAACCATATTCGACCATCAGGTAGTAGTAGGGCAGCAGTATGATAAAGACGAGCTTCCAGATGTTCGTTCATACGTTCTTTTTGATAGCCAAGAAATTGATTTGTTTCTTCATCGAAGTACGGAGTAAGTAATAATGGATAACGAGTAGAACCAAAGAAGTCATAATTGCTACCACCCATGATGAGAAGTTGAGAAGTAGGAAGAATAAGAGCATAATGATTTGAACGATCATCTTCTATATTCGTACTAAGAAAGTTATCATCTAAAGTCCAATGACCACCGTTAGGTTCATATTTTGAGTAAATAAACTGTTCAAGTTTACGACTTCCACGACAACCACCGAAATAATTATCAGGACGAGAATCATTGTATAGTTTTACTCCGGAGCATGAAAGTTGACCTCCGAACAAGTCAATAAGACCAGTATTAGGATCAAGACAGGTTGTGCCGTAAGAAGTAACATTGGTAAGACGATCTGGTCCACGTGAAAATGAAATATCTTCTTTTTCTTGCAATCCAATCCAATAAGTATGAGTTGTATTGCGAATAAAGGCACCATCCATTGTCCTTGCGCTTGTAAAGTCACCTTCACGTGTCAAAAAGATGCGTCCATCTGGAAATAAGTAATTTTGTGGATATAATTTAAATGCATCATATTTATTATCTTCGATACATCGATCATCACATTTCCATCCTTTCGTAGGTTTAAACGTAGGATTAATAAGTGTCGTAAAGGGTCCGTTTGGTAAGGATTTAACATCGACTGCAGACCACTTTGATGTTTTCGGATCGAAGAATTCTACAAAAGTGTTCATTTCGAATGCGTACATATCTGGAAATCCCACATCAAAGCCAACAAAACCACCAAAGACCATCATTCGACCATCTAACAGTGGTAAAATACTAGCGTACCACCGTCCTCGTTTCATAAAGCCGGCAAATGACCATGGATTATTGTTATTTTCGGGTATCTGCCGCCAATCGACATAATTCCATGAAATATTTAATTCTTTTTGCCAATCAAATATAAAAGTAGAACGATGACCTGTATCGAATGGATAATAATATTGCGTACCACCGACAAACAGTACGTTTCCATTTGGTAAATGCTGATGTCCTGTGCAAAAAAGGTCATTGGGAGCGAAATGATTTTTATCAGATGAGTCAGGATCATCGACAGGTATTGGATGAGGTATACGATAGAATGTATTGGCTTGTGGATCATATATGGCAGCATTATTGATCAGTTCATAATAACTGTTGAGCTTACTTTTCTCAAATGGATCTTCATCTTGATTCCATAGGCCAGGACCAGGCTTTGGATCTTCAAATAATGGATAATATTGTGCGGAAGCCAAATTACGCCAACTACTACCACTAACCAGTAAAACTTTTCCTGACGGTAGAAGTATTGTATGAACTGTCTGCATACCTAAAATCTTCCCATCAGCACCACCACCACGTTCCGGTACTACAGGTTCCCAACTTCCACCTATTTCTGGTGAAAGATTTCTTTGTTTGGTCAAATCATATTGTAAGAATAAAATTAAAAGAAACTGATAATTCACCATAGTTCTTCCTTTATCTAAATAGACAGAACATCAATTTCTTTGTGATTGTGTAAAAAAAATATTTTGTATGTGCACTCATGTAAAAAAAAAGGACATTCACTCGTATGTTTATAAACACTTTCTGTTAATCATACGATTGATTTTATATGATGAGAATTCAATCAGACTTTTTTTTGCAAGAGATAGTACATACGTAACTAGATACTTTTTCCTAGAAGACAAAAATAAATATTATACCGACCTTATCAAGAATATTTGCATTGTTTAGCTGTTTCAAAATAAACGGTCGCTCTTTTATACATAACATGACGCTATATAGAGAAGATAGACAATGAACGACGGTTGAGTGCATCGTTCAGGCAAGAAAAAAAAGAGGTCAGATAATGAATATGTCGAAAGAGAAAGAAAATATATTTCAGTGCAAACATGTGAAAAAATTATTTAGTAATTGTTTCTCACTAACGCAACTTTTAAACTGTGTGAATCCATTCATTCGAAACATCAAGTGAACCAAATATTATCCAAGAAAATAAATACATAAGCTTCCATTAAATTAGATTCAAAATATATATTCTTATCCAAATAATCTTTCCAATTGATTTCTGTGTCTACAGCCAGTTGTTAACTAGGATTTTATAAAAATGTTTATCTAAACAGAGAGCTTATTTTGGAAGAGAATCTATTGAAATGTGTCACTTTCTATTTGTAAATAGAGAAATAAATGAGATATTGTTCCTGCATCTTTTCGTTAGAAATGAAAAGTAATATAGTGTTTTTGAAAGAGCATCTATTAAATTTATAGAGTGGTCGTTATAAAAACTTTTTTTTTAAGTTAGGTATTGTGTCTATACAGATTGCAGTTAGTTTTCCAGGAACGTTAAAACAAATGATGAGCTTTAAGTTTTAGGAGATTGTATTCTTTAAGAAAGAATCTTAGTGGTGAGTGCATCGTTATACTGATGCTAATTGAACACTCTGAGTAGCCATATAAGCAGAGTGTCTTTGATTGATACAGCCAAAATGAAAAGAAAATACTGTATTTTGTTGAAGAAATACGAATGACGTACCGAATTCTCACACGAAAAAATCGCATTTTCGCTGCTATATAATGAACAGCATTTTTAGTTGTCTTTTTTCAGTTATTAACAAGTATCGATACAAATTATAGAATTACAAAGAATGATTCACCTTTTCAGTAAGACATTTTCATATATATATATTTATTTACTTAATTTTTTTAAGGTTTGTTCTCTGTCAGAAATCACGACTTTGAGATTTGTGCATGACTCCTTGACCACTATTGTTGACTATTTAAAACAATATGATTCATCGAATCTATTGGGGTGTAAGTAATGGCAAGAGAATAAACAATCAGAAAATGAATTCTTCATAGTATACAGTTTAGAATTTATTTTACATCTTACATATATGGATGTGAAAGAAAATAAATAGTTGGTTGAATATTATACACCTGTTGCATTTATATATATTATTATTTGCGTCGTTTTGTTTAGATCAAACGATGGAATTTAGTTTTCCTTTCTTACTGCTGGAACGCGGGAAGAAAGAAAACTAATTATTTTCTATCTTTGTCAAGATATTTATAATATTTTTTTTTTGTTTTCATTATATTATCCACTTGTATTATTACTTTGAGAACAAAAAAATAAAAGGTACGGAATATTCACTTCTATCATAGCGGAAATAGCTATACATTTTCCTTTGCGTTGAAAACATGTTTTTTTCTACATAAAATAACAAAACTTCATCTTTAACAATAATTATTAAAATATCTCAAATTATTTTATTTATCTCGAACATATTTTACTGCGGAGTTGTTTTTCTTCTAGAATTTCTCTTGAAAGGACTGACGGATGTAGATGAGGGTATGAGAAAATAAATACTCACAACTATATCTACTCCGCTTTCAAGATGCTTTATAACGCCAGGTACACTAGGCAGATGAAATTAATCTATTGTAAAAATTATTTGAAAACACAAAAATTCACGATGGCTTTATTTAATGACCCGTTAATATAGAAACGTAATTTCAAGGCAATTCTAGCAATGTCTAAAAATTCACTATTTAGTACTGAGAAGAACTAAGAATTTTAGTTTTGTTAAAGAGTAAACAAAAAATATATTCGGACGAAGTAAAAATTGTTAATTTACATAGCTCTGTAGTTAGTTAATAGAAATATATTAATATATATATTAAAAATAAATAAATCAACATGGATTATATCAACTAAGATCAGATATAAAAGAAGTTAAATATCAACATTCAGTTTTTGAAAAAAGTTTGTTTTTCTTTTTATTATAGAAAAAAAATTATCTCCAAGGAAATAGAAAAAATAAAGAATTGTTTTAGTGTTATTACTAAACAATAGCATTTCTCTGGAAGAAGAGAGAATTAATTTTTTTAAAGAAAAATAACCAGACCAACCAATAAAACAATTGACATTTTTTTCCTATAAACTATTTTTTTTGAAAAAAGAGAAAATATAGTCACTTTATAAAATAAGATGTATTGACATAACACAAAAAATAATATATCGTATGTATGTTTTATTTTATAGAAATATTTTGACTTTATAAGAAGACAACTCGTTGTTGATTGAATCAATTCATTAGAATTTCGTCTATTCATTATAGATTGTCTTAATTTCATTTAAGTTTCAAAAAGGTAAATTTTCCATTGTTTTTTTGTTGAAAAAAGTTCAAATAATTATGAACAAGTTTATTTTTCAATACATTTTTAAATCTCTTCTTCATTTTATTACATAAACTATCTATTTATTCATATGATTCCTATGCATAAGTCGCTCGAGAGATATTTAAATAAATAATATGAAGATAATTTTTTATATTATTTATTTCAATTTAATAAAATTTCGGTATTTATGAAGATTTACTCGATATCTTATCTATTTTTTTCAAAAAGATTATAAAACTCAGTTCTAATACTAATCATTACCAACAGAAAGAATTTTTTTAATCACTAATTACGTGGTTTACCTGGCTGTTTCTTAATATTTTTCAATTTCACGCATTGTGAGTTAAAAACATACGGTAAAGAAGAAATTTTAATTACCTAAAGATATCTATATATAAAATGGACGCATAGTATAATAATATATGATTTGTCAGTACAACTTTCTATTTTTATAATTGTATTTTTTTGAGTATGTGTAAAACCAGAACCTCGATTTCTTTTAAATATTTATTTATATTTTACATTTGATATAGTCGTTTGTTATAATACAAATAAGTTCCTGAATAATACACATTTCTATTAGATCTACATAATGATTTATACCCAATGAGATACAAGGATTCGTTAAAATTTATTCTTCAAATAAAATAAAAAAAAAACTTTCTTCTTCTTCTTTTTTACATTTTGTTTTCTTATGAATAACTAAATAAAAGAAATATCTTCAATAATAGCCATATGTTGTCTTATTCTGTAAAACTTTATTTGTTTTAATAGAATATTTAAATTCACAGAAAAAAAATAATATTTATCACGAATGTAAAGATACAAAATTAGTTTAGTTTAAGTTTGCAGACTAAACAAAAATGGAAAATAATTCTCTACTGATAGATCTATGTTATATATTTTTATTTAATTAAGATTGATAAGATTAAATTCGAACTGTTTGAATATGCATGAGAATATTATCATAGTATTAATGTGAGGATTAGTAGTAAATAAAATATTATGTTTTTTACTTGTCCCATGATTCTATTCTACTAACATCTCTTTGTTTAGTTTTATAAAAAAAATATTACTAAGAAGATTCAATTTGAATTATTTTTTCTACATAATTGTTATCATTGTTCATTATGTATATAAAATTCTTATTCTATTAGTTAGTTAATTAATAATATGATATATAATATTTTATTTAGATATTAATCATCATGATTGATAGATATTTGAAATATCTTTCGATAAAATTAATTGTGATTATTACTACGTAAGAAATATTATATTTACTTTATTGGATTATATAGTAAAAATAATTTTTATTAGGTTTTTAATTGATAAAAGCTCAGCTTTATCTATCTGTCCAACGGCTGTTTGGGCAACGAGAGGGACCACAGTAGCTGGTTCACAATCAGGCGCTGCTAGTTCTACATTGAACCGATTTACTCTACCAACCATCGTTATTGTGGACAATAGCAGTAATATTTATGTGGCTGATAGTGGAAATTTTCGTGTATTACTATTTCCACCAAATTCAACTCAATCGACTTATGGTACACTGATAATCAATGGTACCTTTGGTACTGACCTTGATCAATTCCAGACGAGTAAGTATACAATTATTTTATTGATATTTTCATTGCAGTTTTTCGATTTGTTCTAGTGGATGGTATGAGTATAGATGCGAATGGTAATATTTATATATTAGATGGAACTTCATCACGTGTAACAAAATGGACACCAGGATCTACAAGTGGAATTCTTGTAGCCGGTGGCGGTCCTTTCATTGATTATTATGATGGACATATAGATAGCATGGGTGAACCTGGTGGAATGTTTATGGATCCTCAATCATCATTTATTTGGATTGCTGATACAGATAATCATAGAATTGTCAAATGGATAAATTCAACCACAGCATTAACAGTTTGCGGCAGTTATGGTACAAACTCCGATCAATTTATTTATCCAATGGGATTATTCATTGATACAGCTGCTGGAAATACACTTTATGTAGTAGATGGTGGAAATCACAGAATACAAATGTGGCTTTCAGGTGCAACTAGCGGAAAAACAGTAGCCGGAATGACAAGTTACTATGGTGATAGACTCGATCAACTGTGGGATCCAACAGCAATACTTGTCGATAATAACCAGAATATGTATATTGTGGACTCGAGTAATTCTCGAATTCTCAAATGGAAAGTAGGTGCAAGTTCTGGCGTGATCATAGCAGGCAATACACAAATGGGAGGAGCAGGATCAAGTGCACTTTCGATTCCAAATAGCATTAGTTTCAGTCTGAATGGAACACTTTATGTTGCTGATACTCTAAATAATCGTACACAAAGATTTACTATTAGTTGCCGTAAGATTTGTTTAAGATTAACAATTTTATTTTAATATATCCATATTCTTTTTTTTACTATAGCGACAAATATATCAACTACAACTGTTTCATCAGTAACTACAATGAGTAAGTATCATATTATGTTAAGTAGAATAGACATTCATTTTAATATTAATTTTTGCAATTTTTTTATTGATTTTATAATAATATTTAACATAAACAAATGATAGTTTTTTAATCGAAAGATAAATAAGATAGATACAGTTTAAATAACGTTCTTTTTGTTGAATCACAAGAGAGAAGTCCAGTTCTTAATATCAACGCCTTTTTTTCACTTATCACTGTATATATATAATAAATTCATAAAATCAATATTGGACTATGTTTTTTGTTTTTTACTAGTGCCCATTTCGACTACAAATTGTTCAATGACTATTTGGGCAGTGAATGCAACAACAATTATTGGTTCACCTATAGGTATTGCAGGTCTTACTTCAACATTGTTAAGTTATCCATCAGACGTCAGGGTTGGTGCCAATGATGCGATTTATGTCATCGATTACGATACATACTATCGTCTGCAAATTTTTAATCCAGGTAGTCTATCAGGTATAACAATCATTAACGCTTCGGCTGGTACAAATCTCAATCAATTCTATACCAGTAAATAATCTAAGATACTTTATATATAATCTATGATTTCTTTAATTTAGTGGATGCTCTTAGCATAGATACGAGCGGTAATTTCTATATACTTGATGGCGATAACTCTCGTATTACAAAATGGGCTCCAGGAGCATCAACAGGTATACTTGTGGCTGGTGGTAATGGAATAGGCAGTTCTCTCGACAAACTAGATGGTCCTACTGACTTTTTCGTTGAGCCAAATACATTCTCTATTTGGATTTGTGATTGTAACAATCATCGGATTGTAAAATGGATGAATGCATCGACTGGGATACTGGTTGCCGGTGGGAATGGTTATGGTGCAAAAGCTAATCAATTTTATAATCCAGCGGGATTATTCGTTGATGTATCTGCTTCGAATACACTTTATGTAGTAGACACAAATAATAGTAGAATCCAAAAATGGCTTTATGGAGCAAGCAATGGAACAACAGTGGCTGGAAAATCTTCAGGTACGCCTGGTAGTGCACTTAATCTACTTAATTATCCAACTGCTATGATTCTGGACACGAATGGATCGATGTACATCGTGGATAATGGAAATAGTCGAATCGTTTTATGGTTATTAGGAGCTACATCGGGCAGAGTCATCGCCGGTACAGGTATTCCTGGAGTATTACCAGATCAAATAAATAATCCTTACACTGTCAGACTTGATTCAACTGGAGCAGTTATTGTCACTGACACTGATAACAGTCGTATTCAAAAGTTTCCTGTTGTTTGCTGTAAGTTTAACAAAGAATTATTTTATATGATTAGCTTTTATAAGATATATTCGAAGTGTAAAGATATGTTTGATGAGAAAACCCTACCAACAGCCTAATCGTTTTTTTAACAAAAGCTATTGCGTTAGAGATTATTCACTATGCTGATTTTGAATATGCCCATGAACAGTTTCCTTGAATCTTCATAGGATGGTTTTCTAGAAAATCGTTTTCAAAAATAACAAATATTTTAGTAACTATTATTTTTATCCGCACAGATTATAGAGCGTATTGAATTGTCTGTAAGAAAACATCAAATATTTCTGTTTTAGATAGAATCCTCGAGAAAATATAACCATGTAAATCCATATAACAAGTGCTCACTATAATCACTTGATACTAAAATGAAAAATAGAAAAAACTGTCGGTTTAAGAACAATTCAATACGCTCTTATATAATCTGATCAAATAAAAAACAACAATTAGTAAAAACTTTATTATTGTTGAAAATCATTCTACAAAGGTCTAAGAAGATTTTTCATGTCCAAATTTTGAATCAGTATAGTGAATAATCTATAATTAAATAGCTTTTATTGAAAAAGCGACCTTTGAAATAAATATTTCTTATGTAGTATTTATTTATTAATTGAAAAATGATCTAAACAAAAAAATAAGTTTTTATTTAAGTAATAAGATTCTGTATCTATGATAGATCTCATATTTATTAGAGAAATATGTACTTTTAATTGAAATATATGTATATAACTAATATCTATTGTTTTTGTCTGAAAATATTGTTATATAATAATAAAATTAGAAAAAAAGTCATAGTTAGAAAGAAATTCTCGATAAACATTTCAGTTTTTGACCAGCAATTTAATACGAATGAAGAAAAAAAGAATTTTATTCATAATTTATTTTGCTTAATCATCTGTTTTTATTTCATATTTTCTAGCGCCAAACATGATAATATCATCAACATCATCATCACCATCATCAACAAAACCATCATCATCAGCAACATCATCATCGTCAACATCATCATCGTCAACAACATCATCATCATCAACAACAACAACATCAATTAATATTACATTACAAAGTAAGATGAAACACACTGGATTATAAAAATATCTAAGTCATATGATTATGTGTTTTTATTGTAGACACAACAATGGCTGTTGCATCTAGTACGAGTAGTCTTTCAACACCAGTCAGTAAGTAGAAAAATATTTGAAAAGAAGTGACTATAAAAAAAGTTTACATGAAAAATAAAAAATGCAAGTAACACATATGTTAAGTTTTGCCGTATATAGAATGATTACAGCTTTCAAATATGACTCAAATGTATTTATTATTAGAGCTAGTGTATTCAATTATTGATCTTGTAATATTTCTTTTAATTAAAGAAGAACTGTAAAATAGTTAAGAAAAAAAAAGATTATTTTTTAATGTAAGAGTACTGGATAAAACTATAGAAATAGTATAAATGCAGCTAAATATTCAAAATAATACATTATAACAATGTTAAATGAACAGACAATAAGATTATTTTGAAAAATTTAATGAATAAAACATATTGATAAATATTCTTTTTCATGATATATGTATCCATTAGAAAATTTATAATTCTAGTATCACAATTAACTATACTATATAGATGATGTTTTGTTTATAATTTAAAATATCTAATTAAGATTAGCAAGATTCTATGATGAGAAAATCTATTATAAACTAATGAGATAAGCAAGATTATTTCAGATATTATCTTTTGAATAAAATTATTCAAAGAGATAATCCCACGACATATTCGACTTTTAGTTTCATCATATGATTTCATATATATTTCTTACAATATATACATCAATTAGTACGATACTATGTTTAAACTATAGTTACAATTTAGAAATAATCTCTGTTTTTTTTTTGTTTTTCTGCATGTTGAATAGGAGTAGATCAATTTTGTTTTATGTTTTCAATTGAAATATTTCATTTGCTAAATAATAAACATGTAATTGCATCTATATATGAACGTTTTTCTTCATTAAGAGTTTATTTAAAATTATATTTTTAATACTATTGACAAGACACCTTGATTTTTAGTAAATCGATGTCTCTGTATTTCTACTAGTTGACTGAACAGATGGGATTCGGAAAGTTTATTTTTCAGATATTTTATTAAATATTCTAGAGTGTCGATTTAAAATACGTACATAACTGGTGGCAAATATCATTTCATTCTATTTTGAGAACTTCTCTTTAATATTTTATAATAAAAAAAAAATATTTCAATAAGAAGCTTCTAGTTTCTTCTATTCTATTCAGTACTGTTATACTCAATAATACAAATAGTATGAGAAAAAATAAGAATTCGATTTAGGATCTTTTAAATGAATAAATTCTTATAAAGCCTGGACAATATGTAAAAGATTTGATTAATAACTTGACTAAAAAGAAAATTGAAATTTATTTATGCAAAAGATTATAGAAATGTGAAATTGTAATTATTAAAATTATAATCTATGTGAAGCATAAACGAAATTACCCATTTGCTATTTTATTAAAAAAATTAACATATTCATATAGATAAATAAATCATAATCAAATAGCGCATTAGGAATCTAAGAATTCTAGTGTTACAGAAGCTCAATAATTAAAGATATTTATCATGTGTAAATAAAATCTATTAAGAAGGCTTATTTTGAAATATAAAATATTTATCAGACACAATATTTTGCTGTTTATTTTCTCGCATGTATCAACTGTGTTTTTGATAAATATTTTATTCTATCTCTTTTCTGTATTAGATAACTCAACAATTATACAATCAGCATCATCGGCAATCGCAGGTTCCGCTTCAGCATCAACACCAATCTCAGGCTCCGCTTCAGCTTCAACACCAATTGCAGGTTCCGCTCCAGTATCAACACCAATCGCAGGTTCTGCGTCAGCATCAACACCAATCTCAGGCTCGGCTTCAGCATCCACACCAATCGCAGGTTCCGCTTCAGCTTCAACACCAATCGCAGGTTCCGTTTCAGCATCAACACCAATCGCAGGTTCCACTACAGCATCAACAACAGTTTTAATATCAACTGTGGTTGCACCGTCAACAAAAATTTCAACGTCAACAATGGTCACATCATCAACAACAACTTTAATATCAACTGTGGTTATACCATCAACAACAGTACCAACATCAACAATGATTACATCATCAACAGCAATACCAACGTCAACAATAGTCGCATCATCAACAAAAGTACCAACATCAACAGTGATTACATCATCAACAGCAATACCAACGTCAACAATAGTCACATCATCAACAACGGTTTTAATGTCAACAATGATCACGACATCAAGAAAGAATAATTCAACTAATCCAATAACACAAGTATCATCAACAATAGCTTCAAGCTCTCTATCATCAAATTACTCAGTTGCAGCTCGTAATTTGAATTCAAAATTATTTGCATTATTATTTTGTGCTTTTATGATTTATATGAACAATTAATTTTTCATTTTATTCATTCATTAATCTCTTTCTAATGCTTTCTAATGCTTTCTAATGCTTTCAATATATTTATAATTCATTTGCTTTTTGTCTATTCAAAAAATTAATCCTGCTTTAAATTCTATAATAATAAAATTTATTTAACCAACAACACTAAGTCTACAATGATCTACTTAATTTTATTTGATTCTTGAATTTTTAATATACTTAAAGTTTTTATGAATAACTATTTTATTCTCATATGACTGAGTTCATCGAAGTTTTGTTGTTTTTAATATTAAGTATTTGATGTATTGCATGTCAAGAATGATTTTACTAATAAATGATATGTCTGCTATGTGTAACTGAATATTAGAATATATCGAATTATTTTCAAAAATTGTTAAAAACTAACTAGATATGAAAGAAATGTTTTAGTAAAAGAATTATATCCACATGTATATTACCAAGTATATTGTTTTCATTGATTTGTAATTAAAATCTTTTATGTAAAATATGTTTAGATTTGATAAAAAATATAATAATACAACACGTTTATTTTATTTATAAAACCTATGTTTGGATTTGGTATGTGTGTGTATTCATTCTACTTTATTCATACTATAACTTATAAGTATCTAGTTAAATACATTAATGTTATGGACAAAAGAAGAAAGATAGTTTCAGAAAGGATAGAATGAAACGGGTCGATTTATTTACTTGTTGTGTGTATTTCTAATACAATAACAGTGACCTTGAACGTTAGAACCTAATTATTATAAGACAAAATAAATGTAAAAAAATGCACTCTAATACATGAGAAGAGTCATATAATTAAACAGCAGTGTATGTTGTTCCTTTGCTCGTAACTTTTCGAAGGGTAAACAAAATCCCATCTAAGGCGTAACCAGGCAATGCAATCCAAAATTGACGATGTGGAAGAATATTAATACCAGATTCGTGGCGTTGAAATTTATTGAAAGTCATGAAACCAATCAAGTAAATCGTTGTCAAAATCACTAATATAAGAATAAAAACGGCTCCACCACCCAACTTGTTTGGTAGCTTAGGAGGGGTAGGACCATCTAAAAGAATATTTTAATAATAGATTATAATATATATCACATTCTTTACTTTTACAACCATCCCAACATGCACATTCAGATGATAATGTCATAGTAAATATCTTTGCTACAGAATCATATCCATGAACTTCTAATTTGTTCGGTTCTCCAGGTTTCAAACAATTCAAGTATACCGACAATTTTCTGTCTCCTGAGTTGTAGACTAGAGTCACTATATCTTTACTCGTTTGAACTTCCCATTGCATACTATTTTGATTTCCTAATGAGTATACTAATTTTTCGTCTGTTTCGTATGCTAAAAGAAGTTTTAAGTAGTCCTATTTAAAAAAATCTAGCAACTATTTTCCTTACTCTGACAGGCTGCAACATCTATGCATGTATATTGAGTGAACGAATGACATGGATTGTAAGAGTAGACTAGAAAAATTTTAAATTATCTTTAAATAAAAGTCTTATTTGAATACAAACTACCATGTTTATCGCTTATTTCAGGATGTACATTTTTCCATGCAGGAGTTCCATCCATACGACCAATACTGGTCAAATCAATGATACCTTTTGGATTCAAATTATAAATACAAGGAGTTACTGCATTTAATTGATCTCGTAGACATAAAGCCAAAATAAATGATAGGATAGAAAAAATATTCTTTCGTATATTCATTTTCATTTACTTTTACACGAGTGACAACAAATAATCTTATCTTTTCTATTTTTTTTTCATCCAAAGATTTTATCAGTAGTATAGAAGAATGACATCACAAAATAAATTTAACATTTATCATAGAGGGTCGTCCAAAACGTTATAAAAACTAGAATGTAGTTTGCGAATGCTGACTTAGCAGTACTGCTAGAAAAAAAATGCTAATGCTTTTTCATTAAGTTAAAAAATTAATTTAATGCTTTGGTATTAGTAATGAATCAGCATTAGTATGATGCTAATACCGTATCATAGTTATGTGTACTTTTGTCAAATATATTGTTTGAGTCTTAATATAAAACTCTATGTGCTGCTGAAAAGAAAGAAGAAAAAATAACGAATATATATTTACATAAATCCATAGAACCGAAGTCGCTTTATGAGATATTGATATTGTAAAATGAAAATTGAATACAAAAAATCATACCTAGTGAGAACATTGTATACTTGCTTGATTTTATTCGGATGGATAGTGAACTGAACATGTTGTTATTATACAAAGAAATAAGAAGATGACCTTGTTTTATTATATTGATGATTATATAAATTTTTATCATGTACATTCTACTTCTATGTTTATTTACTATCTTATAATGCAACAAAAACGCATCGTTCTCGTCATCGTATGTAAATTATATTAGATAAATAATATTCGTCGTAAGAAATTAATTAAATATTAGTGTTATATGTGAATATAGATGACGGTGTCTCTTCTTTTCAATAGCCATACACCCACACGCGCACCCGCACCCACCCTCAAGATAAAATTTATCTAATAACTGATTTTTGTCTACAATATATTTTTATGCTTTATAAACCACTTTTTTTATTCAATAAAATTATTCTAAATTATGTGTGCACATTTTTCACATACATTTTTTACGATCTGAACAATATGGGATGCGATAACAAAAGCGAATGTTATTGATTTCGATAATTTCAGAAAATATAGATAATATAAGACAAGCAGAAAAACAATTATCATGAATAGAAAGGTCTATAGACGCTCAATTTTCTTTATCATGTATGTATCATTAGCTAAAACTATGGTTTAACTGATAGTATTATAACAGTACCAATTAAGTTAATACCAACTCCAACAATTCCAAGAATTGCAGCAACACCTAAACGTAATTTAAAACCATTTTGTGCAGTCATTGTGGCACTGATACCGATTGCAATAGCTATAATTCCCATGATAAGACATGCCACAGCTAGACATTTTTTTGTTAAGATTAATGGTCGTGCTGAACGTTCGCCAGATATTGCACAATATATAACCGATAATGTTCCACAAAAACCAGATAGAATACAAGCTAGAGTAATAAAAGCTCTAGCAGCAAGAATTTTATTGCAGAAACTGCTTGGGAAGTCTTCTGAAGGACATGATATATCTGCGCATGTCGTATCATCAGTTGTGGAATTACACCAACGCCAAAGACCATATGTAATGTTTCCAAAGTCATTTTCTGTTTCACTCCTTAAAGATATAAAACAACAGAATTAATTAAATTCATTATTATCTTACTAATATCCTTTTTTTTAAAAAAAATTTGACTTAATTAAAACAATTTTTATGTTGATATTTTAAAACTATGTGGATTTATATAAATTCTAAATATAAAATTTCGAACATACCACGATGATAGGCCATTGCTCAGAATAAAAAGTATAAACGCTGCTCCAATGAGAGCTCCACCAATGATAAGTAATAGTTTAAAGTTATTTGCCATAGTCTACAAGGTGAATATATAAATTCTTTTCTGTTGTTTTTAATAATGTTGAATTACAATGAAACGCACGCGTAATAAACAGAGATCTGATCTTGAGCCTACTCCTATTGATAAGAAATAATCTCACAATAAAAATAGCAAGTTATAAAATATATTTACTAAGTATTTTATTGTTTCAGTAGATGTTTCAAATCATTATAATATAGTATAATTCATTTATATTGACATATAAAACTGTTTGTCATAAAATCGAAATTGATAAATATAAAAGCAGCAGTTTTGTAACGAAGGACATTACAAAGGTGAGAATGTGAATGTTGACGTGCGATTGTGGTAAATATCATATTCACAATCTCACTCAACAATCAACTCTTAAATCAAATTCTTCTTTTGTTCAATTTTAGACATATCCATAAAATAAAACTAAACATCAGAGCGTACGAAATTGAATAAGATTTTACATAGAATGAGTCACTCATATTGTATAGCTTATGAATATGTATATGGATGTTGGTGAAGAGAGATTCGTACTTATTCATCCAAACTCGTAAATAACAGCAGTAATTAGTCATTATACCATCAATAATTGATTAAAAAACTATAAAAAAAAACTATTACTATAACTTCACTTTTAATGAGAATGTGGATAATGTTTGGTGTTGAATATAGTAAATCTGCATATATCATACGAAACTATTCATCTACGTCCTCAAAATAATAATAAAACGTCAGTGGATGACTATTATCGTATTATAAACAAAAAAACTTTATAATAACAAAGAAAAGATGTGCAGATAAAGTTTTATAACTACAAATCAGACTAAATAGAATCTGATTCATATACCACTTTAGTGAAACTACTCATTCGGCGGCTATGACTTTTCATCCTGAGTCCTCGTAATACAATAAACAAAATAGAAAAAAAATCTTTTAATGAATTAATTTCTTCGGAAAGATTCAATCTTTTTACTGTTATTTTCTAGACTGGTTGTAAAATGAAAGATAATTAATGACTTTTATTACAATTTTAAAATAAGAAGATCTGTAAGCAGATTATGAATGAAAAGCTTCTTCTTATAATTTAGCTTTTGTGAATTTTCAAATGAGTATAAATTATTTTCAATGTCAACTAATACTGTACGTTGGTTTATTGCTAATCTAATGATGAGAATTTGTATGTCCATATTCTATACATTAAAATATGAAGGCGATATGAAATGTTGTTTTATCTAATATTTTACTTAACGTTTATCAAAAATGAATGAGCATTCAATTCGAAGTCTATTTTCTAATGTTTATATATGTTATTCCTAAAATACATTCTGTTATATCGATTTGAGTGTAGTATTTATACTATCAATAATAATAATGATATTTGATACTTATCTTTTATATATGATACAGAAAAAACGATTAACAACTTATGACATCTTTACTTTTAAAGTAATTAAAAATAAAAGGAATATTTTTCGAAAAAATACATATATATATTAAATTAAAATG